GAAGGGGAATGAGGTGGGACACGCTGGAAGAGAAGAGTGATAGCAGCAGAGGCTTCTGCAGATGAAGCAAGGCCAGTAGTCAGGCCCTGTGAGATCCACTGGGATGTGACCTGGTCAAGTGAAGGAGGGAGAGGGCACGTTTGCTTCCTTACCTGCCTGCCCTGGCTCCGGAAGAATTCTCCTGTGTTCTCGATGACCTGCTCATCCGAGAGGAGGCTGTACGGTTGCTCCTTACACAGTATGAACATCTCCCAGAGGGTAACCCCAAACGCCCAGACATCGCTGGCTGTGGTGAACTTGCCCTGTGAACAGAAAGGGCGTTGTAAGCCGGGGGTGCTCACAACACACTGAGCAAGAACCCTTGCAGCCTACACCCTCTGCAGCTGAGCGCGAGGCTGCAGAATTCCTACCTGGGAAAATGCTCTCCAAAAGAGACGGCAGGGCAGGTGACCTGCTCTCAGCAATGCTCAAAGGGAATGACACTGCTGCTTCACGGGACAGGAGCGGTCTGTGGGACCCATGGGACAGCTTTCACTGGGACAAACCTCGAGACCCAGAGGAGGTCTCAGAATGCCAGAAACAACTGTCCCTCCTGAGAAAGTCTGTATTTGTCTGCAGCAGTAGGAAAAGAGGCTGTGGCAGGGGGTGGGGAGCTGCTGCCTACCTCCACCCAAAACACCCCAGTGCAGCCCAGGGAAGCCTTTGAACAGGAAGCAAAGCCCTCGGGGTGAAGGCAGAGGCAAAGCAGACTCCAGGCTCTTTGAAAAAGGCCAAGCTAATTTTGGTCTTTGCACATCTAAGAAGTCAGTGAGTCTGCTTGCTGCCCCTGTTTTTTGTCTTCGAAAAAGATGCCCAAACCAGCCATGTTTGGAACAATGTGTTTCTGAAGTAGTGAAAAGCAGCTAAAAATTACTCAGAACAGGCAACAGCTGGGGGCTGGAGGGCCTGTTTAGGCAGAAAACATCCAAAACCTGGACTGTCCTGGCTTATCTGGCAACCCTAACAGTCTGTCAACATTTGGAAGATGTTCAAGAAGATGGGAGTGACACGGTTTAGATGCAGCTGTAACCAGGAAAATAGGCCTAAGCTTTTCTAAATTCATCTTATCAGCCTTTATAGAAGTAGTAATTTTTCTGGGTACTCAGTGGGTGTGCTGCAAGAAAGTATAACCAGGTGATCTCACCAAGTATTCTGAGAAAGAAATACAGGGCTGAATTTTAAGGAACTGCCTCCAGACTGTGCTTGGGCTGTTGAACAATCTCTTAAGGGGAGACAGCAGGACCCTTAAACACAGAACAAAAATCTCAACCTCAAAACCAGACTTGGCACTTGAAGCTTATGAAGTTCAGTCCCTATCCCTACCAGCTTCACAGCTGGGGAAACAAGCACAGAAGGGCCATTTCCTTATGAATCCTGACTGCCAGGCTCAGAACAGAAATTGCACCCCAGATGATCTGGCACTGTATTTTCAAGGACACACTCCTTTTCCAGGATCTGAGTTATGTCCAGTGTGACCTAATGGACATCTCACCCAGGGCCACCTGCAGCATACGCTTTGTTGCTACAAGGACCATTTTACATACACAGAATCACAGAACGGTTTGGGTTGGAAGGGACCTTAAAGACCATCCAGTTCCAACCCCCCTGCCATGGGCAGGGACACCTTCCACTAGACCAGGTTGCTCCAAGCCTCATCCAGCCTGGCCTTGGACACTTCCAGGGATGGGGCATCCACAGCTTCTCTGGGCAACCTGTCCCAGTGCCTCACCACCCTCTGCGGGAAGAATTTCTTCCTGATGTCCAATCTAAACCTCCCCACTTTTAATTTAAACCCGTTCCCCCTTGTCCTGTCACTACAGGCCCTTGTAAAAAGTCCCCCCCCCCGCATACATGTGTTACTATTTCAGGGGCACAGTGAAAAATCAAGAGGAAGGTAAACAGAATGGCTTTGTGTAGTCCCTACCAGGAGGATGCTTTCCCAGGCCATCCAACGAATGGGCAGCACAGCTCTTCCCTGGATACGGTAGTAATCCCCACTGTAAAGATTCCTGCTCATGCCAAAGTCTGCGATCTTGATGGTGTAGTTGTTCCCCACCAGGCAGTTGCGTGTTGCCAGATCTCTGTGCACAAAATTCAGAGATGCTAAATACTTCATTCCAGAGGCAATCTGGGTGGCCATGTACAGCAGGTTGGAGTAGCTGCATTAAAAGAAAACAAAACGAGGAAAATAATTCAGCAGAACTCCCCACACTCAACTCTTCCTTGTGTTTGATGTGTTACAGTGACATGTCATTTTATTTCTTGTCGTAACAGTGAAGCTGAACTGTCTAGTTTCAGGGCACTGACACCCCCAATTTACCAGGTGAAGCCACGTTCCTGAGCCAACTAAGCAAGAACAGACAAGCTGTCCTTGAAATTCAAGGCCCTTAGAAGCTGACAACCCTTAGATTATTTTTTTTTAAGTATCAAGCATTAATCTCAAGCTTTTCAAAGAGTTTATGCAAAGCACCAACTTTTTTTTGCAGAGACATATGAAAAATTAAGCTGTACAATCTCAGAATCTCACATCTAAAATACTGCTGAGCTTGGTATTTCAAACAGTGCCACTACTGCATGCTCACATTAACAGAAGTATGTCACTTGAAAGAAGTAAGCTCTCTTTACTGTTAATATGTTTGGTATTACCAACAATATACTAAGATGCATTTTGTATCTAGTACAGTTTTAATTTCCCCATTAGCAAAATGAAGATAATAAAGTTGCATGACACACAGACCAAGTTTGGACCATCTGACTTCCAGCATTCCTCACACACTATTATTCTGTGACACTCAGCTTGTTTCCCACTCAGTGTGCCCAAATGCTTCACACAATCAAGCGTTTGTGACAACACATCGGAAACCGTTCAGTTCGTATTTCACTCATCAAGCTCAGCAAATGGAACTCTCGGTCTCCTCCTCTGTGTGTTCTGGAGGCAACGAGGAAGGCACTACTCAGACACAATAGTGAAAAGCATCTAGTGGTAACAGATCCAGCCTCTCTGTTGTAAGCAGCAGCTCAGTTATCGCCCCAGAATGCTGCAGGAGGGGCTGGGCACTGCTCCCCTCCAGCCTGTCAGCACAGTGATCACCGCAGCCCAGCCCCACAGCCAGCTCAACATCCCCCTCCCCCCAATCCAAGTGGGTCTGTTGTGCCCCAGAGGGGTCGTGCTGCCCAACTGTACTTGTTAACCCGGCTGTTGGCTCTTCACACAGGACCCGGCCCAGCCTCCTGCCTCCCCCTGCTCAGCTCCAGCTGCCTCCCTGCTCCCATCCCACCCGCACCCTGGCAGGGTCCAGCAGCAGCATCCCCCTGGCTCCCTGCCCCCTGCTCAGCAGGTGCTGCAGGGCCTTCCGCCTGCGGCTGGGCACACGGGGGGCAGGATGGGAGACACCTCGCAGACTCCAGATTTGCTGGACAGCCAGAGAGGCACCGGAAGATGCATTCCAAATCCAAAGAGCCATAAGGACTTCAAAGTGTGTGACGTCTCTGCAGGAAAGGGCTGGTTACCCCATTTGGTGCACCAAGCACTGAGTTTTAGAGACAGAGGAGATGGTTGGACCTTAACCCACCAGACACCCACCGGCACCACTCTCTGGCCGAGGAAATCACCTCACTCAGTAAACAACTCCTGTACAGAGAGCCAAGCTAGTCATACCAGCTTCCTTCAATGGGAAGCTCTATCTGGCTGGAAGGGACAAAAGGAGAGGCTGAAGGATCAGCTGGACAGAAAGAAAAACTAGAGTAGAGCCAAGTAATGGAAACCAAGGTAGAATGTGAGTGACAGGGCTGAAGTCAGCTGAGCTGTGAGGAGATGAAGAAAGGACAGTGAGGCTCTGGCCAGGAAGAGCACCACACCCAAAGGTGAAAACTGCTCCTGGTGTGCAGAAAGGGCAGGAGACTGGAGAGAGCTGGAATGTTTCCACTCAGATGCAAATCCTCTCCCCCACAACAGTTCCCGGTGTGTCACGGCTTCCAGTTTAACACCCCACAGGACTGCTGACCACTGCCAGAAGCACTGGTGCTGCCTCGATGTGCTAAGACCTAGCCACCTCCTGTCCAGGCCGTCAACAGAACTGGCTCTGCCCAACTGCCTTGTTCTTGACCATAAATAAAGCTAATCCTCTGGGGAGGTACGTGCCAAAGGCTAAGCAACCCGGTCCTGACCAGCGCAGCTTGCTTTATCAAGCAGAATACTACACACAACTCTCCTCTGAGGAAACGATTTCTGCAGCAGTAGACATGCTTTTGTGTTAGATTTAATTCACTGAGCAGGGAGATAAGTGCCACTGCTGACAGAAAATGTTTTTCTTTGCCAAATATTCTCCTTCTGTTGGCTGATGAAATCTTTCCTTAGCAAAGCTCCACACCCAACCCCCTTCACATACTATTTTTTAGACATCCAGAGAACATATGAACCTTCTTAAAAGCCTAAAAGACATTCTTGATTTTCATCCCAAAATTCCTG